TGTAGTATATATATATATATATATATATAATTATATATATATATATATAATATATATATATATATATATATATATATAGTATAAATTTTATTTAATACATTTTTATATAGGATATAATAGATGCATTATATCGAAGTTAATATATAAATTGTTAAGTGAAAAAGTGCAATAAATATTTAGATGTAATTAAACAATTTCATGTTAAACAAAATATATTCGAAAATAACAAACAATTCTAAAAAGTGTATTAGAAGCTTTACTTCAAAATTTTATGACACTCTGGATTAGTCACATCTAAGTGCAAGAATGATATTGAATAATGGACAGAAATCAATGGTGAGTGAAGAAATATAAGAAATATAAAAATAGGTTATTAAACAGCTAAGTTAAAAAATATAATTTTTATTTATTATTATTCAATACATTTTTTTTACAATACGCTTTTACAGAAATATTTTTTGGAAATAAAATTTAGAAAATACTTCTTTTAAATAACTTTTGTACTGTAAATTTTTATAATTTATAATAATCATTTTTATGTTAATTAAAGATTTTTAATATGAGAGAATTAGCGGCCAAATTCGAGCAAAATAAGATGGAAACAAATAGTGATAAATAAATTAATCACGTAATATTTAAAAATAAATATTTCGAACATTATTTAGTCCTCATCAGTATAATAAAAAATTGAAAAAAAATCCTTGGAATGTACATAATAAGAAAAAACATAACATAATCAATGTTGTAATATATCGCGATACAATCAAAAAGATGAACAGATAACAGTGATGTATAAACCACTTGAACAAATCACATTTTATCTACCATTTTGTGTACAAACAATAATATACATAAATGAAATAAAAGTGTGTCGTAACCAAAGCAAAGAGGCTGTATCAAAACTAAACAAACATTAATAAATAACTAAAAAACAAACTCTATATTATGTAATTGCCTATTTCGGGTTAAAACAACCCGGTGGTGCATGATTTAAAATTCTTCTCATAATTAATTCTCCGATCAGAGGCAAAAAATATATTAAGTTTAACAATACAAAATCAATCCGTAAATGTCAAAATTGTAAACGTCGGAAATGAATTTTAATGGGAATTCTGTCAAGCAAATAATAAAAATAATAAAAATTTTTGTATGATAATGAAAAAAATGAAACCATAAACTAGAAATGATAATAAAAAAATAGAAATAATAGTTTAAGTTATAAATTATTGTAACAGATGAAAAAAATTAAAAATAAAACTTGTCAATTAAAAGACTTAGGAAAGAAAGAAATTAGAAGGAAATTCAAAAAAACTAACAATAATTTACTCTTATATTCTATTGTAAATTTTAATCTGAGATAACTGTTAAACTTGTTAAACTTGTTTGAAATAAAAGATATATCTTCTTTGGAAGCAATCAGTAAAGTATCATCGTATCGTAAATACATTGTTGGACAAACATTAATTGAATTTAACCTTTCCCTCTAGATTCTGCATTACTATGTCAGCGATGATCAGTGGAGGGGAATTTACAGGGATGTTAAACATTTGTTTCTAGATAATATGATTAAACATAAATAACTAACATAAATAGGATAAACTAACATAAACTAACATAAATAGGAAGACAAATTTATTAGCTGCAATGAATTTCTTCATAGATAGTTTTGTAAAGTTCTCAATGAAAATTCTTTCTGAAAAATCTTTCTGAAATATCCTCAAACATTAGATCTAGAAGAATAATATGAAAAATGACGTTATGTCAAGAGATGTCAATATATCTGAGTTTTTTAACATTATTGAATTGTGTACTGTACAAGTCAAAACTGTTATTAACATGACTTTTAGCAAAAGAGAGATTTCTTGATATGATTCCATATAAAAATACTCAGAATGTTTCCGTTTTTAATAGGAATATTCGCTCTTATGTAGATATATCATCTATTTGAAAACATTTTCCTTATGCTTTATGCTGAAAACAGTTTCTTATGCTTATGTTCCTTATGATTTATGTTTATGCTTATTTAAATATCAAGTCAATTAAACAGACACGTCGAAAAAGACCAAATATGCTGTCTCGCTCGTTCTTTCGTTCTTTATCCTATTTACTCTCGTTGTGCGTATTATAGAAAAGAAAATCTCAAGTAAAATGAGACACGCTTTTCGAATATAGAAAGATGGTTAATATTTCAAAATGTCTGATATCACTATAAAATTACTTTTTTACTAAAAAAAAGTAAAAAAGGGTAGTCAAGTATAGTGGACGCTTGAAAAAAAAAAGAAACTATTGTAACCAAGTTAAAAAATAGAATCTAATTGACAATATCTTTTATTTTCTTTTTACTTC